TAAATTAAAGCAAAAACAAAAACGAAACAAAAAATCTAATGTTTCTGTAAATAATGAATTTTAAATTTGTATTATTTCAAGTTTTTCATTTTATTTTCATAAAAATGTGATACTAGAAATGGTAATATGGACCACTATATGCTTAAATCATGAGATGATTTTTTTTTTTTTTTTTTTGAACAAGACAAGATTATCTTTTGTCATCTATTTTATCGATTAATGAAATGGTCTATTTTATATTTAAAAAAACAGAGAGATTAGTCATTTTTATCAATAGAATTTTTGGTAGAAATTAGGGATACAGCCTAATACATATATTTTGGTTTTATTTAAATAAAATATTCTATTATGATTTAAATTCATGTTTTTAAAACAAAACAAGTAATATTTTGACATATTAAAATGATTATATATAAATAAATAAAATAAAAAATTGTTTAAGTTAACCATAATTAAAAAATTTACATTAACTTTAGAGAAATATCGTATCAATTAACTATATTATGAATCAACTATGCTATATATTTTCAAGCTTCCAAGCATACACCTCAAACACTGGTTTGCGAACCCGAACTTCATAAACCCACATGCCTCCTAAACCAAGCTTAAAATGTTAAACTCTCCCCCCAAGCAACCCTTAAATGATAAGTCTACAAAATTAGCAAATTAGAGACTTTTCTTCAAGAATTTTGTACCAATTATCACACAGATTTCTTTTAACATTATGGTGCAATCCCAACATAAATATATTGGAATCAAGGATGGATGGAGAGCGGGAGGAGAGGCTGGTTCTTAGGAAATTCTTAATGCCAGTGCAAAAGGTTTTACGTACGTAGAAGACAGTATTTCCCTTAAGGAGCTGGGAAAACCTTCCACAAGGACACAGAGAGAGAACCAGCCAACATATTCTCTCCCATAAAAGTTTATAGTTTCCTTTATGTGTCTTCAAGCTTCACGATTTCGACCCATATCCAGAGATGAGACCCTTTACCTTTACCTTTACCTTCACCTACCCCTCTCAGAGATTTACGGGCCGACACTAAAATTCTAAATAAGGAAAGGAAATATGTCCAAATTCTGCTTTCGTTTCAGAAAATAACTTTTCATCCTGGAAGACACTTTTGAACTTCTCCATGACAAGATCCTAAAACAATCGACTCCTAGGATTGTGGCCAAGAGGAAGACCTAGGTAAAAGGACAGGAAAGTCCTACCACGCAACCCACCCAAGAAGCCCATCTACTAACAGAAGATTTTTCCCCTATTAATCTTTAATTTTGACATGGTCTCGGAAAAAGATAGAAAGTGACTTCGATTAATAAAGGACTCTTCCTTCCCAAGGAAAAGAAGATATCTTTGGCGAATTGTAGATGAGACAAGGTCAATTGTCTCTTACCACCTGAAAACCCTCAAGGACATTGCCCTCAACCTTCAAGGGGTGATCATACCTAGAATGTCCACCACAAGTAAAAATAGAAAAGGAGAAATATGATCACTTTATCTTAGACCTCTAAAGGCATGAAATCTACCCCTAGGTTTACCATTGACGATTATAGACCTTGTAACAAGATTATAATTGTTGTTATTGAGATTTTGGGCCTTCAATTGTAACGATTTTTCCCTTTCTACTATAGATTGTTGGCTAGATTCATTCTCCATGGCCTTATTTGTTTAAAATTTCAATTTTCATATTTCATATTTCATGATGATAGCCCTACATCTTATCCCAAAAAGAGCCTTTTACTGATAATTCTAATACAAATGCAGAGTGATAATCACAAAATAAAAATTGAACAAACATTTTTCAAAACTTTTTTTTTCTTTTTTTTTTTTTTTTTGGGGGGGGGGGCGGTAGTAATTGAGAATCAATCTAAAGAAGATAAGAACGAAGCATAAAGTGGATTATAATCATAATGTAAAAGGGAAAGGCTGATAAAGATTTACAGCTGCATCATACTTACTCTTCAAGCATCCAATAACTGCGCCTTTGAAAGTTCTCATTTTCTTCTCCATGGGCATAATAGCAGTGCAATACATCAATGCTTCCAACCTAATAATATAGCTAGAAAGAAAGTTACCTCCAAAAGTATATAATAAAATACGTATTTCCCATTAAAAAGAGTAATAAGGAAAAAAAAAACAAGAAACAAGGAAAGCCAAAGAGAAGATCAAAACAAGATAAAATAACTAAATAGAAAATAGTTAAATAGCTTATTTTGTGAAACTTAGATAATGAAGAGTGTAGATAAGCAATCTAGATAAAGAAATGGCATCTTCTGTAAGTTACCTTCAGCTTCTCATGTGCTTCTCTTACTGTTTTGCCATCTTTCTTCTTCCTCCATTTATGTCCATCCTTTCTAAAGTACCTCAGAACCTTTCGATCAAAGAGAAAAAGTGACCCACCTGAAAGGTACAAGTACATGTCAACGGCCAAAGTTATGTCCAAGGAATGTTAGCCGTAGTGGTAAATGGAACAATACTAGTTAAACTATTTCAAGTTGCTGAATTAAAAAGAAGAAGAGGAGAAAGAGAGATATTAAAGTTCCATTTCTCATCATAAGATCTAACAATATCATTTTATATCAATACAACGCAATATTAAAATAATATCTGAAACATAAGGCTGGGAAGGCACACAGGCCCTGTACTATGGCTAGTGCTTTCAGGGTGACACTGGAAATAAACAAGGGGAAGAGAACCAATGCACCAAGGAGGCAGTCACGGCCAAAAATTTCAAAGAGGCACTCGCCTTGCATTGGCTATTGTCTCTTTTGGTTGCCTTTAGTGCCTTAGTAAAGACTAGCAATCTTCAGGGTCTTTCAAGTACAATATTTGCCAGTATATTGACGTTACTACAGATAGTTGCTTTAAACCAATATTCTTTCCTATGGGGGAAGAATCTGAAGTATAACTCATGAATAGCAAATGAATTATATATTGGATAAGAAACATTTTTAAAATACAAAAAGGAGCAAAATTAGCACTTTTTAAGAGTGCATTACCATGCTCCCGACGCACAGAAAGATGAGTGTATAATTTCTACGGTTCCTATTACGATGAGCACAAGGATAGATGCATTTACGAGGAAACCCCCCATCGTACTTACAGAATTTACAAGAATACAAGTAAAAAATGTGCAGATTTTTGCTGGTGTGACTTTTATAAATTTTTCAACATGGCCGAAAAATATAAAATTCCCAATTTCTGACATCAAGTGCAATCTTCAGGGTCTTTCAAGTACAATATTTGCAAGTATATTGACGTTACTATAGATAGTTGCTTCAAACAATCATGCTTTCTTATGAGGGAAGAATCTTAAGTATAAGTAACTCATGAATTGCAAATGAATTATATATTGGATAAGAAACATTTTAGCCGATACTGGCAAGGATTGTACTTGAAAGACCCTGAAGATTGCACTTGAAGACTACTATTAACGTCAATATACTGGCAATATACTGGCAAAGATTGTACTTGAAATTAAATGCATCAATATACTGGCAATATAACGTAAAAAATGTCTAGATTTTTGCTGGTGTCACTTTTATAAAAATTTTCAACATGGCCGAAAAATATAAAATTCCCAGTTTCTGACATCAAGTGTGGCAGGACATGAAAGAGGATCTTGTTCTGTTTCATCAATCCTCATTCTTTTATTTCCTTAAATTTTCAGATTATACAACTCAGGTTGTTGTTAATTATTCCTCAATGATCAAGCAATCATTTTATTCTGTATTCAAATTACTTACTGGGTTGGCAATATTCCTGGCAAAAACTTTCAATTATCTTACTTTCTGTTTTGAGAATCAATCTCAAAGAAGAAAAACAACAGATACCAACAATGTAAAAAGCCGGTGATTAAGAAACCCTCAAGCAACCTCAGAAGTTAAGTTCAGATAATCAAAAAATAATAATAATAATAATAGTAATGATTGTGGAAATCATACTTGAAGGTCTATCTGGAGGCTCTGAAGCAATTTGAAACTTAGGATAGTTACGGAGTATTTCACAAATTTCAGCTGGACGTAACCAACGATGTTTTGCTTCTATCAATAACTGGTCAATATCTGCATGAACATAAGCTGTGTAAGCCATGAAAGAAGACATTAAAACAGCAGTTAACTTCACAAACCCAAACACTAGATGCATTTAATTGCAAGTCAGAATGATGGGCAACGGTAGGCATTAAAACTATGCTTTAGGCTCACTAGAACGGTTCAATAGAAGACATTACTCGATAGAGAAGAGTTTTCACAGCTGTGAGATGTGAGCAAGTATATGACCAACTCGGAGCTTTGAGAACCAGTCCAAAGTTAAAAACAAGATTGCAGACTGTTGATAAAGTATCTTGCTTGCATTCATATGAATTTTCAGAGAGGAATATGGGTCTATTATAATACAAAAAAAACTAACTAAATCCCTAGACACTAGGTATCAAAAATATCTAAATAATTCCCTACGATACTAGGTAACAATACTGATAATTAAGGAGGTCAACGATTTCTCTTATTTAATGGGATTACATAAATATTTCCTAATTAAATGCTAGAAATTACATAATAAAAAATAAAAAAAAATTTAAAAAAAATATTTAAATCAAAGTCATTCCTTCAACACTCCCCTCAAGTTGACAACTTGGATACTAACTCATGAAACAATGACTTATGAAGCTCTTTTGTAAGTACATCTGCTAGTTGAAGTTGTGAGGACACAAAACTAATGCATCCTACCATTCTCTAATTTCTCCTTGATAAAATGTCGATCAATTTCAATTTATTGCGTCCTATCATGTTGGATAAAATTATGTGCAATATTGATAGCAGATTGTTGTCACAATATAACTTTATCAAACCTTCTCCCTTAATCTGTAAGTCATCAAGGATTATCTTCAACCATAAGAGTTTACATAACCCTTGTGCAATAGGTCGAAATTCTATTTCGGCGGATCATCTAACCACCACATTTTCTTTTTACTTCTCAATGTTACCAAATTACCTCCAAGAAAAGTACAATAACTCATCATAGATCTTCTGTCAAATATTGATCCAGCATAATCGGCATCAGTGTAAGCTTCCAATGCAAAGGAATTGTTCCGTTTGAACAAAATTCTTTTTTCTGAAGATCCTTTTTCAAATAACATAATACGCTAAATGTTGCCTGAAGATGAAGCTCTTGCAGATCATGAAGGAGAAAAAGATTGGAAGATGGATCGTGAGGGCAACGAAGCTGAACTCCCAAAATGTTCTCAAACCGGAGTTCCATTTTATAAGCATCAACCCCATAACTCAAATAAAACCACATTTCCTCACTCCATTTCCTTTGATCAATTTAATAGTTTTTTTTTTTTTTTTTTTTTCCTGCACCCTAGATAGAGTCTATCAAGCTGCTCATAACAATCCTTTGGAAAGCTGCCATGCTATCCCATGTCTAGTGGAAAACTTAAGTCCTTACACAATTAATTGTGACACTTGTAATAAACTACAAAAGGGGATCTAGAACCTAGCTTTCACTTCAATGACACATCCACAGTGGGAAACGAAGAAAACCATGAACATCTATAATTATTCATTAGTTTTGACTTATACATGGTGGTAGGAGTCCTGCATTTCTTATTAAAAAATGATGCAAGTGCACCAATTTCCATATTTTTGTTCAACACCTCACCAATCATCCCTGTATTGGCAAAGTTAAGGTCTTGAGAATAAAGTAGTTCTTGATACTTGTTACGTGATGCGGTAAGAAAGAACTTCTAAATTTTGTATGCTCACAAGTCAAGATAGAAATTTCCATGTGCTCATAAATAGTTTCCTTGCTCGTTTCTACTTTCTAGGCAAGCGTACTTCAACGTTGTGAAATCGTACCCCTTCGAATCGATGCCTATTGAAAAGGCTTTTTCTATAAACTTCCTAGAAAACTTAAAACAATAGCTCATATAAATTTAGCATTGGCCTTGAAACCAATGAATTACCATAGCTATCAATAGGAAACTAGGCAAAGTCAAATAACTTCATAACTTCCCTTGAAGGGTGAGAAGGATCACTTGATTAAAATGTGATCAACATATTCCTCCGAGCTTTCGCACAAGATGTTTCTTCAGGAACTTGAGGCCAAACTGGGATTTTTCTTGTGAGCTGGACTACTAGCAACTTGAACAAATTTTCCTATAGCTACCATCAAGATGGAAAAAAGAATCCTTTTGGGGTTTTCAGAAACAAGTAAACTAACTACATAACCAGGCCAATTTGCAGGATTTAAAAAAGATTTATAAGCGGGTAAAAAATATAGTTGCAAGTCCAAGGTATCCAAGGAGTACATGAATAGTTTGTTTGCAGAAGGAAGCTCGACTTTCCACGGAAATACTAGTACGTAACCATTAAGGTCATAAAGGGTAATTAACTAACAAGATCCTTCAAATATACAATCCCCTGAGTTCTACCTCACAAGAAACAGAGCATAAGCATCATGCAAAACAGATTGGCATCTGCATAATGATAAAAATTGAACTACCCATTGAAACTGTAAATTCCAAGCAAGTCAATTGCACAAAAAACAAATAAAAAGAAAAACAGACTCATGCAGATGCAACTACAGCTAAAGAAAACTAGTTCAAGCGCCATGCTCAGTAGAATTAAGAACTCAGAATGACGTTATCAACAACAGAACTCAAGATTTGAAACACTTAATAATTGCTAAAACAAACCAAGAATCCGGAATCACATTCGCGGTGATTCATCCCCACGGAAGCCTCCATTCAACAGTTCCAAGCTCAAAAGAAAAAAAAAAAACAATCCCCTCCTCCCAACCAATCAAAAACTCGCATCGAATCAAAGAAAACAAACGATCATAGAGTTCAAAAAGTAACAGAGAAAAAGGCATAAGAACTAAAATAGAGAAAAAGAAAGAAGGAGAATCGGAATCCGACCTAGACGAGGAGCCAAGCCATAAGATCCACGGTCCGCCATGGGAGGAGAGTGAATCAGCGAGAGGAATTTGAGGGGGGGAAAGGGAGGGAAATGGAAGAGGTAGAAATGGGGGAAAGACTTAGGCAGTCAGCTCTGTGAATGTGAATGACGTAACATCGGGGAAACTCGGAGATGAAGCGAATGAGCACTCATTCGCTTATATTATATTATTATTATTATTTTTGTATTTATTTCGTCTGTAATAATATTCTTACCACACTAAAATAAAAATAAATAAATAAATAATTTTCCAAAACGTGGGACCCACTTTGTCCTTTTTTTGTCCTTTCTTTTTTTTCTCTCTCAAAGAGATAAATATCAAATATCCAATATTAAATTTCAAGCTGCTATTTATTTATTTATTTATTTATTATTATTATTATTATTTATTCGAAAATGAGATATCTTTAGCTTATTTGACTGCTCTCTTGTTTTATATATTAAAAAAATTCATAAAACATTTAAAATGATTTTCTCTTTTTTTTTTTTTTTATTAACGGTTAAATTATTAGTAGATAAGATATTAATTATTATATTAAAAATCGACCGTTTAATCTCTCAGCATTTGTTGTACTAAAAAAAAATAGGTTTGATTTACTCTCCAGTAAAGGTTCAATCACATTTCTCGTTACTAGACAATCCATGAATTTCGGGTTTCGAATTCTCAGCATCAATGATCATCTTTGCCCTGGAATTTGGACTCTTTAAGATTTTCTCCTCACTACATCTGCTTGTGCGTATGACGGGACTCCACAAACCGTGCGAGGAATAGTAGTTTGACTAAATCTCTAAGTGGGACCCCCTGAACCTTCTTTCACTCGTTAAATAGGTTAAAGTAACTTTCGGTACACAAGCTGAATTGGTGACCCGAGTAACTAAAATAGAGTTCACACTCCAACCCACTTATCTACGATAAAATTCTCATGCACATAAATAAGTAACGTCCACACGATTATATTATATAGTTCTAATGTAATTCATATCTACACAAATAAGTAATTACTACAATTATCACATAACACAGATAGGTAATTACCTTAAGTTTTCACGTAGAAAAATATATCATAATGTTTCAAAATATCATTTCTAAGTATCACAACAATTTAGAAAGTATATTTAAAATGGTAGTCATCCTATAGGATAGTATTGTGCCTCAATAAGCTAAATCTCACATTTGATGTTCCGTTTGGCTAATAATAATATATCTGAGCTATCTCGAAATGTTTTGAGTTGATGTTCGTTTAATTCTACTCGTCGGGGTCTAGTTCCGAAAGACAAATGAGTTAGGATAATCACATACGACAATGTCGATATAGTGGCCTGGAAATGAAGTTAGAACAACTGCATTTACATTTGACGTTTTAGTCCTTACGATATAAAATGACGTCCTCATTACTTTGAAATTCTTGTCATTTCGTTCTCACTATTTGAGGACGTCATTATTAGTATAAATGAATTTTACGAACGCTTAAATCCATAGCGTCGTCTTAATAAATCGTTTTGAATGAACCTTTTGCACATATTAGACATGTCCTGTCATGCATGTGGTAGCGACTTTATTTCACTAAGAAAAATATGGTCGTTACAGAAGATAAAGTAGGTGAATGACTGAGTTCGTGAGATTTCAAAAGACTCATAGAACGTTTCGCGAGTTCTATTGAGTAGGTGAAAAATAGGTCAAATCTAATTGTGATGTCCCACATTGGTTGGGGAGGAAAACAAAACACCCTTATATTGAGGGAAAACTCGAAAGGAAAAGCTCAAAGATAACAATATCTACTAGCCAAATGGTATCAGAGCCAGACACCGGACGATGTGTCAATCTTCTCGCTGTTCCACGAAGGGGGGTAGACACAAGGCAGTGTGCCAGTAAGCCCCGAAGGGGGGTGAATTGTGATGTCACACAGGGTGTGGAAACTTTCTCCTATAGCCTTGAGGGGAAGCCCGAAAGAGTACGATAACAATTTGACTCGTTGACTTTGACTTCTTTTAGTTGGGTTTTGTAAATAGCATCACATATTGCTCAAGAGATTGAAAGGCAATGTTGTAGGTGAACTATTACTTTTTTGACTTTAGTTTTTTCATTAAAAAATATTATCATTAGTCCATGGTGTACGTCACGCATTAATGTGTACATTAGTCGAATAATAGCTGGTAGAATAATAAAAAGGAATAGCATTTTAATTTCGACCAATTATTTATAAAGAATATATTTTAAATATATTCGAGAGTGATTTTATAAATAGTAATTTTAGTAAATAAAAAAAAACAAAAAAAAGTTTTTAAAAGTAATTTTGAATAATTGAAAGCAGGTTTGGATTTAAAATATATATTTTCAATCTAAATAATTTAATAATTATTATTTTTGTAAAAGTATTTTATTATAAATTATTTTGATATTTGATTTCATACCTTTTTTATCCCAAAAAAATTTAGAAATAATAAAAAGAACGATTTTTAAAAATATTGGAGAGAGGAAATGAGAAATAAATACACAGAAATTTAAGAGAAAAAAATGTTAGAAATAGATATAATAATAATAAATAAATAAATAAAAAGTAATTAACAAAATAAATTGAAATATGAGGATTTAAAAAAATAATAAAAATGATAGTCAATAATACTATAGACCGAGTTCGATGGAATTGTTTGATGCATGGATAACACGTATCTTGTAACCTTTATTTAACATTATTAAATTGAATGATTATATATATGTTTTTTATGTGATATGCATGCATTCATGTACGATGGATCATGATTTTGTATGACTATGCACATGATATACGAGATTTCACGAATATGAACGTGAATATGTATATGTATTTCGGAGGCGTTAAAAAATTAATTCAATACATGTTATTGGGTATCGTATCATTAAAGTAACGATTTAAAATGTTGGTAGGAGTATGTTCATTTTATTAATTTTATGAACATTTTTATTAATTTAGTCTATTTTTTAATATAATCTATTTGACAATATAACGTTTTTTATAAATTCAACATTATAGAAGGGATATTTGTATCTCAAACGTCTTGATCGATAGTTCATATTTTGCGTTACTTTTTTTAAATATATTTTTATATTATGTGAGATCTTATATCGGTTGGGGAGGAAAACGAAACATTCTTCTCCCTCTAGCAGACGCGTTTTAAAAACAAGCTTGAATGAGAAAACCCACTGAAATAATATTTGCGAGCGGTAGAGTCTTGACTTGTTACAAATGGTATCAGAGCCAGACACTTGATGATGTGTCGGCGAGGAGGCTGAGCCTCGAAAAGAGGTGGACATGAGACGATGTGCCAGCAAGAACGTTGGACTTAGAAAGGACTACCAACAAAGACACCGGACTCAAAGAGAGTAGATTGTCATATTTGGAATTTTTTTTTAATCTTTTTTCCTTATAAAAAATATTTAAATAAATTGTGGAATTACACGTGCGATAAATCATCCCCGTCCGACTCCTTGTGTTATATTTGTATATTTCCTCCTCAAATTATTTATTTATCTCGATTTTCTTTCCTTTTTTATTATTTTTTTATTTTTTAAATATGGTTTTTTTTTATATTTTTTTATATTTTTAATATTCACCGCTTAAAAACTTAATAATATATTCATTAAAATCATGACTTAATAAATATAAATTAACTAATAACAATGGTAATAAAATTGTTACAAGTAATTACGAGAATTAAAAAAATATTATTTATTTATATAAAATTTTGATAATATTTCATCTCTTAAATTATTTTATTTGAAATAAATTTAATTAAATTAAGTTATAATTATTGGAATAAAAAGAATTTTGACCACAAATATTAATTACTAACATTTCATAAAAGTTATTACCTATAACTAAATCACAATAACTTAATATCAATTCACCGAACCTTATGTTCTAAGTTTAAAATCGAGATTTATCAAATACTTATACTATAACGATCTTTTTAAAAGTACTATTACGGATAATTATTTGAAAACGTACGACTAATCCTAAACGGGTCCACCTAAATTTAATCGAATTGTTATCATCGTTGTCGTTGACTATGGATAAGTAGCATGGGAATGAAATGGATTTTAGTGCAAATAAGAATGCAAAATAGACGAAGGAAGACTTGGTCAAATTCCAAGGGTGAGTTTGAATGGGTCAAAATCTAAAGTCCATACGCCATCTGTCCTCATCGCCAGCGTCCGATTGCTTTCCCGCTTTTGGTGGTCGTCACGCGTCAACTTCTATATACATATACATATACATATACACACATATATATACATATACATACATATATATATATATATATATATATATATATATATATATATATATATATATATGTATATGTATATGTATATGTGTGTATGTATGTATGTATATATATAATGGACTCCGATCTAATTTGTGGGCATTCAAACAACGAAATGAATTGGCTAATATGTGAATATCGTGTAATTAGTGTGAAGCATTATGAAGTACTACTATGTATGAAACACTGTGAATATGTATGCACATCTCATAGGGATTTCGTGTCATGTGTATCGTTTAGCTTAATCATAAATATTAATGTGAGACCTCATGCATGTTGTTTTGCTATGTGGGTATGAATTGCTTCTTTAGTATGTCATGCATGGACGCAAACACTATACTATTAGATGTTGTAAGAACTAAAGCTCACTGCTAGCATCTATTGTGTTGGACCGGTATGACAACTCTAGAGGGGTGAATAGAATTTTAATGATAAAAGTATTTAAACGTGGTTAATTTTTCTAATTATGAAATTTTTACACATAATCGAAAGATGATAATTACTAGAATAAAATAATTCAAGTCAAAACAATAATCAACTAAAAAATGTAATAAATCACCTTAATAAATTTGAAATTAAATAGGAAAGAGTTAGAAAATATGTTATCATAGTGGTTCGATCAAATTCGACCTACTTCACTCTCCAAGCGCCTTTTGAAAATTTGAATAAAAAAAAATTTCGACTCTTTCCACAGATCAGAGCCAAACCGCTACACCGCTCTTTTTACGAGTTCAAGACGACGCAAAATCAAACTGGTACAAGTATTTGAATTTGATAGTAACACACCACAACTCTCTCAAAGATTTGAGTAGATTTACCATTTGAAACACTCGCAACTATTTTCTCATAATACAATAAAAATCTCTTTCAAGAATAAGATGAATAAAAATAAAATTGGAAGGAGGGAGAGAGCAATCAAAAATAGAGACTATGAACCAATGAAGTTTGTAGATTTATAAAAATAATATTAGTAGTAATGGAAGGCCGAAATTAAAAGTAAATAAATAAGAAATTATTTTTAATTCATTTATTTAATTTTTTTTAAATATAATATAAAAATAATAAAAACCAAATTGAGTAACGGTAAAATTAAAAAATTAAACATTTATTATTAATATAATAATATAATAATAATAAGAGGATGTGAGTAATTACCCAAATTTTAAAATATAATATAGTAATAATAAAAATCCATAGGAATAATAGTTAGATTCAAATTTATATTATATAAAAATCATTTTATTTAAAATTATAATAATAAGAAAAACTTCACTGTTCGTTACTCTTCCAAAATTTTCAAAGTAGTCATACTTTGATTTGTCCATCATTTTGATTTTGCTGCCACATTATCTGTTGTTTAGCTCTGATTTTAGTAATTGAAAAGTCGTTGAAATCGTTATTCTCAACCTTATACCGTGGACAGTTCAAAATAAAAATAGTTAATAAACACCAATCAATTAATTAATTAAAATTAATTAAAATGAGATTAAGGGCAAAAAAGACAACATATTGTCCGTTTTGGGTTGTTACGCATCACCATCAACCTCGAGGTTTTAAAATGCGTTTGCTGGTGGTGGATTTGGACGGTTACAAATGGTATCAAAGCCAGACATTGTGCAGTGTGTTAGCGATGATGCAAGGCCTCAATGGAGGTGGATTTTGAGGTCCCACATTTGGTTGGAAGAAGGAATGAAACATGTCGAGTAGATTCATGCGCACATAAATCGTGTAGAGATAAACCCGTAAACAACGACAGAAAATGCTGGTGGGCGGGCCACGTCTGAGGACTGTTTCATGCGCTGAAGGCCCTCGTGGGTCGGGTTGTGGGCTTTGTGTGGGTCGTTAGTCTGCTGCTGGGCCGAACTCGTGGGCCTGGAGTACTGCTGGACCGTGGGCTTCAATGTTGGGTCGATTTTTGCATTGGACTTCTGGGCTTGACGTGGGCTGGCCTTCGGAATCGAGAGCTAGGTTGCCCTGTGGTCTGCTTCTGGTGGTGGTTGGGTCTCGGGATAACCCGACCCGTACCCGAACCTGAATTCAACCCGAACTACCCCTGTTTTTTTTATTATAACAAATTTTAGTTTAAACTTTAATAAAACTGTAATAGATGATATTTTATATTTTAAAAAATAAGATTTAATTATTAATTTATTACTGAGAAAACTAATAAAAATAAAGAAAAATTTATAAATTAAGAAATTAAAAAACTTATGCAAAAGGAGGAGAGAGGAGAGAGAGAAGTTATGGGCCACAAAAGGAAGTTAGTTATAGTTAGGTATTGGTTAATTTTGGGGCACACAATTAGCTTAAGGCAAATTTAAATATATATATATATAATTACACTTCACATTTTAAATATTTTCATACGTGTATTTTTATTATATATTTAAAAATTAAAAAATATTATTATTATTTATTAGTACCGTCTATAAAATTTTAAAATCAGCATTAACACTTTTATAAAAAAATTCAAAAACTTTTAAAGATATTTTATATATTTTTTAAATTGGATGAAAAGTTTGAAAAAGAAATTATTAACAGATTTGATAAAAAAAATTAACGGTAAAAACATTTTTTTAAAAGTTAAAAGGGTATATTTTGAATCTTTAATTTAAATTTAATAAACGATTATTATTTTTGGATAAAATGGAAAGTTGAAGGACAGTGCAATAATAATAATAATAATAATAATAATAATAGAAATGACGTGTTATAATAAGCGAGCAAATTTTTCAGAAAACGGAGGGACAAAGAAAGGCCATCAGTCGAGTGGTTGACCAAATTCCTACCACAGTTGCCCATCTTCTTCTCCATTCTTCTTGTTTACTGGGCGAGGAGATTCCCTTCTTCCATGGATTCCGCCCTCTCTGTAATGGCGTCCAATGCGCCTCTCTTCGCTCTCTCCACCATTACCCGCAGCTTCTCCACGCTCAATTTCACCCACTCCCCCTCCATTTCCCCTATCTCCACTCTTTCCTTCTCGCTTCGTGCTGCTGTTCCTCCTCTCCACCGTCGTCACAAATTCATCTCCAACTCATCTTCTGGCAATGGAAATGGCGGCGTTCGAGGAGAGAGCGGCGGCGGTGGCGGCGGAGACGATGGTGGACCTGACGGCGGCGATGTCGGCTCGAACTTGCTCTCTGGAGAAGCTGAGGACGACGCTACGCTGTCCGCAGACGCGATTGTTCTTGGTGTTGGAGTACGAGA